TCACACTTCATCGGAGAGGCTATGATGATGTAGAAGTCCTCCGTGATGACGGCCCTCTTTCGACGGAGCTCCGGAACAGGCCCCAAGATGGGATCTCGTGGATACAAAATAAGCAACAAAGTATCATAAGGAAACTTACTATCAACGGCGGAGTCCTTCGAGGTAGGAAGGTCACCACAAGTTTCCGAGATGACACCGGAGTTCAAGTTCGAGGCCATTGCTAAGAGCGGCTGCACTCCGTGAGCCCGTGTGGCGTTCAACCACCCAGCAATAATGAGATGGGATAGACCAAAATGGAATGGGGGAATCCTGCCTTTTCAAATCTCTGTCTGTCAAACTTCGACGTATTGTATAAACAGATGGCCGCATTGAACGATGGTAACAGTTTGTCGTTTCTGCTATCCACGCTTCGAAAGATTGAGTCTGACCTTCCTACTTGTGAAAACCGATCACGAGACCCTGTATTTGACCCTGCTGGTTCTCAGCTCTGACACAACAGAGGCCCTGTTTGGATCCATGGGTTAGAGTTAGTTTGGGTTAGTTTGGACTCAACTAACCCAAAAGTATCCAAAAAGGAGGGTTAGTTTGGGTTAGATGCATCTAACTCATCCAAAAAATCTAACCCACCCAATAGGTGCTTATTCGGGTTAGTTCTTCTCGGGGCCATTAAAAAACACATTTTTCTCTCGCTCTTCCTGCAGCATATCCATCCCACTTCCTCGAAGCTTCTCGTCCTCTCCCTCCCTCCCTCTCACACCGCCCATGAAGGCGCCTCGCCGTATCCGTGCTCCATCTAACCCTGCCATCCAAACACCTCTTTGGTTAGAGTTAGTTCAGGGTTAGTTCAGGGTTAGTTCAGGGTTAGAATTTAACTCTAACCTCTAACTGAGTTAGAGTATCCAAACAGGGCCAGAGCTAGCTCCACAAAAAACATAAGCTGTCAGAACTAGCTGTCATGCAACTTCGCTAGCTACGAGAAACTAGTTCAGAGCACTAGCTGATGTGAAACAACGCTAACTCCAATCGAAAACACACCGAACTGCAACATGCCATTTTTTAAATTAGATTAGCAACTATAAATAGCCCAAGTTCGCAAGGATAGAACAAGCTCTACGAACCGGCTTTTCGATTAATTTTTTTAGGAAGGCTTTTTGATTAGATTAGCATCTGACCGAGGACATGGTGAACTGGGCTTGAAGAAGAGAGAGTCCAAGAGAGAAGGGCGGGATTGGGGTTGTGTGTTAGGTGCTCTCTATGAAAATGATGTCATAGGCTTTTTTAGGCCTTGTAGAGCCCCCGTGACCCCTCCGACGCGCACCAAGCCAACTAGAATAAAACAAACCGACCATGACAGCAACGGCATGCGGAGCATTTTCACAGATTTCTTTAAAAGTGAAAAAATGCACAATCATGGTTCAGTTAAAAAAATATCAATTGGTATGAAATTGTTTGACTGGTATGAATTCTTTGACCAATACATATTGCGTCTACACGTACAAAAGAATAACAACAACCCTATTTGACACTAATTCTATGCCATGTTCATTTTTTAATTCTATGCCATGTTCATTTTTATGAAATTTTTAAGGACTCGAGCTCATCCATTATAGACTTGTTTTTATACAATGCAAATTGTAGGCCTTGACCCAAGAAAGTATTTTGAACATTTCAAGAAACCAGCATAAACTCGTAAGACATGGGTACATAGTTTTCCAAGCACCGACATGTGCACATAGTTTTTTTATGTATAAGGGTGTAGGCAGTGCAACGTCCACAGTATAGAAAAGGTTCCCGTTCACATGTAAGAAGGTGCCTTTACGCGGTATGCATGGTTCTGACAATATAAAATAGAGGTTTCCAAAGAACCGGTGTGCCACCCTCCCGGAACAGGATTAATTTTTGGACCTGTGTCAGGCTTGCAGCGATGGCTTTTTATCGCTCACACTCATCAATGTCCTCTGATACAACATGGTGGTCACCATGAAGAACTGTCAAATATACAACTAGAATTGAAATAATATTTCCAAAGAATCGGCGTGCCACCACCCCGGAATCGGATCAATTTTTGGATGTGTGTCGGGCTAGCACCGATGGCTTTTAATCGTTCACACTCGTCGAAGTCGTCCGATACAACGTGATGGTCATCATGAAGAACTGTCAAATACACTATTGGAACCGAAATAGTATTTCCAAAGAACCGGTATGCGACCCTCCCAGAACCGAATCAATGTTTGGTTGTGTGTCGGGCTAGAGGTGATGGTTTTTATAGCTCACACTCGTCGAAGTCGTCTAATACAACAAGGTGGTCACCATGAAAAGCTGTGAAATATACAATTGGGGACTATTTTTTGCATGTGTGTGGGCCTAGCGGCGATGGCCTTTTATTGCTCACATTCATTGAAGCCGTCCGATGCAACATTGTGGTCACCATGAAGAACTGTCAAATATACAATTGGAACCGAAATAATATTTCCAAAGAACCGGTATGCCACCCTCCCGGAACCGAATCAATCTTTGGTTGTGTGTCAGGCTAGAGGTGATGGTTTTTATAGCTCACACTCTTCGAAGTTGTCTGATACAACATGGTGGTCACCATGAAAAGCCGTCAAATATACAATTAGGGACTAATTTTTGCATGTGTGTCGGCCTAGCGGCGATGGCCTTTTATCGCTCACACTCGTCGAAGTCATCTGATACAACATGGTGTTCATCATAGAGAACTGTGAAACATACAATTGGAACCGAAATAGTATTTCCAAAGAATTGACGTGTCACCCTCCCAGTACCGGACTAATTTTTGCATGTGTGTCGGCCTAGCGGCGATGGCCTTCTATCGTTCACACTCATCGAAGCCGTCCGATGCTACATGGTAGTCACCACGAAGAACCGTCAAATATACACTTGGAACCGAAATAGTCTTTCCAAAGAACCGACGTGCCACCCTCTTAACCGAATAAATGTTTGGTTGTGTGTCCGCCTAGCGGTGTGGCCTTTTATCGCTCACACTCATCGAAGTCGTCCGATGCTACATGATGGTAACCATGTAGAACTGTCAAATATACAATTGGAACCGAAATAGTATTTCCAAAGAACTGGCATGCCACTCTCTCGGAATCGAATCACTATTTTGTTGTGTGTCGGGCTAGTGGTGATGTTTTTTTATAGCTCACACTTGTCAAAGTTGTTTGGTACAACACGACGGTCACCATAAAGAACTATGAAACATACAACTGGACCCGAAATAGTACTTCCAAAGCACCGACGTGCCACCCTCTCGGTACCGAATTAATTTTTGCATGTGTGTCGGCGTAGCGGCGATGGCCTTTTATCGTTCACACTCATCGAAACCGTACGATGCAACATGGTGGTCACCATGAAAAACTATCAAATATATAATTGGAACCGAAATAGTATTTCGAAAGAATCAGCGTGCCACCCTCCTGGTATGGAACTAATTTTTTGCGCGTGTGTCGGCCTAGCGGCAATGGCCTTTTATTGTTCACACTCACCGTAGCCGTCCGATGCAACATGGTGGTCATTATGAAGAACTGTCAAATATACAATTGGAACCGGAATAGTACTTCCAAAGAACCGGCGTGCCACCCTCTCGAAACCGAATATATGTTTGGTTGTATGTCGGGCTAGCGGTGATGGCTTTTTATAGCTCACACTCGTCGAAGTCGTTCGATACAACATGGTGGTCACCATGAAGAACTATGAAATATACAATTAGAACCGAAATAATATTTCCAACGAACTGACGTGCCACCCTCTTGGAACCGGATCAATTTTTGAATGTGTGTCGGTCTAGCGGCGATGACCTTTTATCACCCACACTCGTCGAAGCCGTCCGATGCAACATGATGGTCAGCACGAAGAACTATTAATTATATAACTGGAACGGAAATAGTATTCGAAAGAATTGGCATGCCACCTTCCCAAAACTGGATCAATTTTTGGATGTATGTCGGGGTAGCGGCGATGGCCTGATACCGCTCACACTCGTCGTAGCCATTCAAATCTATTCCCTCTGACCCTACTTATCATTTTCTGCACTTCAAATCTATTCTAGAAGAACTGTTAGAAACTAAAGTGATGCCAAATTGTATCGTATTTAATTAGACGAGAAAGACCCGTTAGCAGGGACAGAGCCAAGATTTAAACAAAGACGGGGTGAAGACGTCAGTAATAAAAGTCTAATAAAAGAATGTGTATATACATTGCATTCTTATGGTATATAAAAAACTGTATTGTAATGTAATAGAAGAATTGCAATTTATAATACAAAATGAAAGTACGGACTATGACTCTAAAAACATGAAAGGTCTCAATAATTTGTTCAAAACTAAAGTAGGCGTGTCTATCATATCTTCTTAATGTTTAATTTTCTGTAGTTTAGACTTTTACACATACCCTTCTCATTGCCTTGATGCCAATGCCGCTCATGCCGCTCATGTGGGTCATGCGGCCTTGCAGTTGGAGCCTTCCATCGATGCTTGTGTTCAAATTACACCCCTTATTTGATTGTATAAATATTTATATCTGGATTTCTTCATTGTTTTATACGTACAATACATGCTGATTTTTTCTAAACCTCGTCACCGGTTGCTTCGAGACTTGGTGAGAAGCACATGGGTTGGCTCGTGGGTGAAGCACGAGTCATAGAGATTTCACCTTCATAGGAGGATCTTCTACAAGCAGTAGGATGCCAAAATAATGTTTGGCAGAGGGGCATATAAGAGACCACATAACTTCTTGGTATAGAAATAATTGTAGATCACATAGAGACGCATGGCCGGTCATGGGCTCGTGGCACCCTCATCCTTGCCACACGTGAGCCTCCACCGACGAAAATTCACTTCCCCACGCACAGAACGAGATGGGCATCCAGCCTTGTGCACTACTACTGCCTCAACTCTCCCCAAATTCTTCCATGTGAGGTCAAGAGGCTCCATGTCAACTCTCCTGCTAGATGCAGCCGGGCCCGACTCTGTTCGAAGATGGATTTTAGCACCGCCACCAGCACTGCATCGAGCTCAATTCCCCCGCTCCCTCTCTCTCTCCAGTCCACCACCGTCCCTCACCAAATCATGAGGCTAGCCGACGAGCGCACTCCCGCGTCAAAATCCATGGTGGATCCACAACAAGCGGAGCAGAGGCAAAACGGCGAGCAGGTGGGTGGCCAGTACGTCAAGCGATGGCGACCACCACCGCCACGGTGGATGGCTTCTGCTGGATTTGGCCACCATGGCAACATTATCCTCTTCTACGAGTGCCTCATGGGCATGTTTGCCTCCAACGAGCAGAGGACGGCCATGAGATGAGGGCTGCAGGCGCCCCTCTCCCAGTGGGCTAATGCTCTGGAATTTTTTTTGCATGTTGCGGATGTGAGAGGCTGGTTTGGTGCTTTGATTCGGTGGTTGCCAATCTTTTCTGTGCTAATTAGTGGTTTTTCGGTGCAAGTTTGTGCATGGGTTAGCGCTAAGTTTTGTTTCATAGTTTTGTACGAATTTACAGTTAGAGTTTGTGTTTACTTGTCTCAAACTTCCTATCATGGATCAATGAACATATTTTGAAGAACTTTGATGGGATGGAAATCCGTATGTAATTTAGATTTATTCTGAAGAACTTGTTGTATATCAGCGAGAACCGTCGACGAAAATATGAAGAAGTTCCTTGGGCTGTATATTGAATAGACTTTCTACAAATGTGAACTTTTTCTGGACCGTAGTGTTGGCTATGGTGGGTTATAGAGCAGACACGGGAATAACATTGCTTGGTGTACCGATCACACTTTCAAAGCGGTAAAACGGAAACAGCGAAACATGAAACGGGATCTAGCCAGAGAGAAAAACAATCTGGAACCTTTTGATGAGCTTGCATGTGACAGCCGCATGGGGACATCCATCGGGCCTAGTAATTGGCAGGTTTGGTTCAGAACTTTACCTGAGTGTGGCAGACCATGGTCAGTCAGAATAAGGGAGGAAAATGAAGCAAAGAGAGAGAAAAAGGAACCGTTGGGAAGGAAAGGTTCGGATCTTGATGTACCTACCTACGGTTCTGATAGTTGTGGTCTCATGTACCTACCTACGGTTCTGATAGTTGTGGTCTCGGTACGTTCGGATAGCGAATCTCATTCCCCCGTCTCTCTCTCTCTCTCTCTCTATATATATATATATATATATGGCTTTTCCCACGAATCATTCTTGTTAGTCATGTTTTATATGATGTTAGTGTAATCTAAAAATGTTTTTAGCAACTAAATACCCATTTTAAATAAGAATCTCGCTCGTTGGCGGATTTTGCTCTCGGGTTGTGATGAAATTGCATTTTTTTGCAATTTTACTGCCTGAGTTGTTCGACCTGAACTTCTTCGAGTGTTAGGTTGAACTTCCGCCAACACTGTCTAAATGGGGCTTGCGATATACCGTTGGAAAGCTATGGACACTAGTATCATGACCCAAATTAAATTTTTGGCAAAATGTAAGCGGTTCAAGAGCAGTTTTGAAAACCATTTTTTCTTCATACAAAAAACGTGAATCATATTTTCGATCGCATTTTTAAACCGTTTAGTGGAATAAAGCAAATAATATGGTGTTGGAAAGCTGCTGCAAAACCGCTCCTTCCACATGGTGAAAGTTTTTCTAATTCCCTACGGTTAAAGAGTAATTTGAAAAATCGTAAAATTTCGCAAATCGAACAGCCGAGTTTGTATTTTTGATGTCATTTCTAAACGGCTAATCCAATTGAGGCAAATGATATGGCGTTGGAAAGCTTATGAAAATGCGCTATTTTTTAAGTAGATTTTTTTTTTCTAATTTAAACGGTTTAAGAGTAATTTTGAAAACGGTATAAGGTCCACCGAGTTTGTATTTTCGATCTATTTTTTAACCGTATGTCCGAATGCAGAAAATGATATGGCGTTGGAAAGCTTGAGGAAAAGCGAAACTTTTTAGTATATATTGTTTCTCCTAATTCTTTACTGTTTTAAGTCAATTTTGAAAATGGCTAAAAACGTATTTTCGCCGTAATTTCTACAAACTTCATCGGAATGGAGCAAATAATATACCTTCGAAAAGCTAAGAATAATGCGAAACTTTTTCATGTTGATGGTTTTCTGTGATTCCTAGCCGTTTTCAAGTAATTTCGAAAATGGCGAGATCATTCGTTCCGCCTTTATCACGAAACAGATTCTTCGAAAATGCACCACATGAAGAACCTGAACTTTTTGGCATGTCTATTTGAACTTTACTCTATTTTTCACGTGCTTTTTTTGCTCGTAGGTCTCCATCCATTGCTCGTAACTCTTCATCCACTCACCGGAATTGAGCAAGTAATATACCGGTGGAAAGCTGATGTAAACACGCAACTTTCCTGTGTTGATCATTTTTTCATACTTGCGATGATTTAAAAGTTTTTCATCTGAAATTAATTCACTATTGTAGTCAAACTTCCTGCTGTTTTCACATTGAACTTTTGTGACGTATTTTCGTTTGTAATTCTCATCCATTCGTCCGTGTTACACAAATGCTATTCCTTTTGTACAAACCACTCTCACAATAATTTTTTTTAACTTTCTCCTACAGAGAACTTGAACTTATAACAACAAAACTTTTAGACTTGGCTTTTTTATTCTTTTTAATACAAAATGCACACCATGTAGTACGTGAACTTCTGGCAGTTATCAATCTGAACTTCTCTGTGAACTTCTGGCAGTTATCAATCTGAACTTCTCGGTTACGTGAAAATATCTGAGTTTTTTTATAAATATTAATCTGAATTTCTTAATCCTTTTTTATGAATTTTGAAGCGCTCTATTTTTGAAAGTTGAACTTCTTGTTATTTCATTTTTGAACTTCTTGTTTCCACTCTTTAGTAACGTGGAAGATCTGAGTTTTCTATAATCATCAAACTTCTCCATCTTTTTAATATGGACTTCCTGGTTTTTTCTTAATACTTTTTATGAAATTTTGAAGCATTCTATTTTTAAAAGTTGAACTTCTTATTATTTAATTTTTGAACTTCTTATTTCCATTGTTTAATAATGAGGAAAAACTGAGTTTCTGTAATCATCAAAATTCTCCATTTTTTTAAATTGGACTTCATGGTTTTATTTCTTTTAGTAACGAAAAAAATCCTACTTTTTGATAGACATCGAGCTACTCCGTTTTTAAATTTTAACTTCTAGATTTATTTTAAGAGAAAAAGCTTTATTATAAAATTGTTTGAGATGGTTTTTTAATGACCTTCTTTGGGTTTGTAACAAGCATTGAACCAGTTGCACCACACCAATGACATTAAAACTCAGATTTTACTGACGATTTTAAAAGTTTTTCATCTGAAATTTATTCAGTGTAGTAGTTGAACTTCCTGTTGTTTTCACGTTGAACTTCTGTGATATATTTTTGTTTGTAATTTTCTCATCCATTCGTCAGTATTACACCAATGATATTCCTTTTGAACAAACCTCTCTCACAATAATTTTTTTAATTTATCCGACCGAGGACTTGAACTCACACAAATGATATTCCAGCCGTTTTTAAGTAAATTAGAAAATGACGAGATCATGATTTCTGCCTTCATCGTGAAAGGAAATGCATTGCGTGAAGTACTTGAACTTCTGTGACAGTTCTGTTCAAACTTCACTCGGTTTTTTGACGTGATGTTTTTTGCAATGCATGAAGTAGTTGAACATCTGGGTCAATCTGTTTGAACTTCACTCTGTTTCACTTTATTGTATTTTTCTTATACGAAACACACACCATGCAGTATGTGAGCTTTTGATTGCTATCACTTTGAACTTCCCTCTGGTTTGAGAGAATTATTTTAAAACACAAAAAACAACATCATTTTTATGTATTTTGAACTTCGGTCTTGCTCTTGCACCATAACGGCTGCTAGGTCGTCCGAGACAGGGGGAGCACGAGGTACCGCCAGTGCAAGGGGTCGCACACCGCAATCTCCTGGATGAAAGCCAGGGTTGTGCGGTGCCAATTTTTGTGGTGCTGGCTATGGGTTCCCTAGACGAGGACGCGACCATTGAGACTGTCTTGGGCGACCTAGTGTTGGGCGTGGGTGGGAAGGAAGGAGACGGAGAAGTTGGTGGTGAGAGCGATGGCCCTGGCTGCCGACGCGAAGGGGTGAGGCGGGTCGGCCGTGTAAAAGCCTTTGCCTGTATTGAGGAGGCCGAGGAGGGGCAGGGCGCGGCGCTTGCGGTACTGCCAGAGGGAGGAGCGGTCGACGATGATTCGGCGAAACACGATGCAGGTGACAGACGTGCAGAGGATGTTGGCTGGATCAGGAATGCAGCGGAAGATGTCCAGCAGGAGCTCGTCGTGGATCGGCGGCGAGGCAGTTTCCCGAGGATCATGCCGTCGCGGCAGCAGACGGCTTGCTCCACGCGGATCTGCGGGTCCTCTGACGCGCCGCCGACCATCGCGCCGCAGTTGGAACTGTAGCTAGTATGGTGGGAGCGATGAGTGTGGGGATTTGGGGGGAAAAGAAGGGAGCGCTTGTAGATGCAATCCCATTAGTTTTGTTAAGCAGCAATTCCGTCAGTTTGGAGGGTCCTCATTCAAATGTGCCAATGGAGGAGCTGTTGGGTGAGATTAAAAAAAGAACTACACAATTTTTTATTTTAGGCAAAAAGAAGTACATCGTTGATCTACATTCTAGCACAACCATACTCTCCACAAGTACATACACACAAACTGAACAAGACTAGTGCTTGTCTCCAACTTACAAAATCTAAACTGTTAGTACGAGAGGATTCTACCTTAACATTTATATGAGATGATTCTACCTTAACATTTACCTCTGAACTTCTCTAATTTTTTAATTTAAACTTCCTAGTTTTATTCTTAGAAAAAAATGATTTTTATGCAAACATCGTACAATTTTTTTAAAATTGAACTTCATAATTTTGCATAGAAACAAAAAGAATTTGAGTTTTGTATACATCGAACTACTCCATTTTTTGGTTTGAAATTCTTGATTTTCTTTTTAAAATTGAATTGCTCCAAAAGAAATGCCAAAACGACGCTACCCCTTTAGCAATGAAAAAAATCAGTATTTTCTTAGATATCAAACGGCTCCATTTTTTCATTTTTTGAACCTCTTTGTGTATTTTTAGAAATGGCAAAAATTAGAGTTTTTTTAGTAAATGTCGAATTTCTTTGTTATTTCGAACTGAACTTCTTTTTTTATTCGTTAGTAATGAAAAAAATTCATGTTTTTGTAATAAATATCGAACTATTCCATTTTTTGAAACTGAACTTCTTGATTTATTATTTAGTAAGGAGGAAAATCTGGGTTTTCATATACATTGAACTTTTCTATTTTTTAAAATTAAACTTCTTGGTTTTTTCAATTTGGACTTCTTCGTGTTATTTATTTGTAAAGGAAAAATCTTAATTTTGTAATGGGAAAATTCGAGTTTTTGTAATAATACTGAACTGCTCCGTTTTTTAAATTGTACTTCTTGATTTATTATTTAGTAACCAGGAGAATATGAGATTTTTTTATACATCGAACTATTCTATTTCTTACAACTAAACCTATTGGTGTTATTCATTTGTAACAGAAAAAATCCTAGTTTTTTAGTAAACATGTTCGACTTCTTGGTTATTTGAAACTATACTTCTTGGTTTATTTGTTAGTAATGGGAAAAATTGTGAGAAAAATCAAAAAAAATTATAGATATCGAACTTCAACATTTTTTAAATTGGACTTCTTAGTTTTATTTGTTAGTAATGGGGAAAATCCTTTTTTTAATAAACATTGAATCACGCCGTTAGTTTAAATTGAACTTCTAGTATTTTAGAACATGGAAAATGATTTTTTTATAATCATTTTTAAAATTTTCTTCTTCTTAATTTGAACTTCTCTAACTTGTTTTGCGTGTATCCACATCTTTTTTCCGGAGAACACATATCCTAGGATTTGTAATTTATATTTATGGAGAAGCATTTTGATCTCTGTCAAGAAGAACACACAGAAGTAATGCCAAAGTGGTAGGTAATCACCACTAGACACCAAATGCTAACATATATACGTATTGGTGCTCACTGGCCTTCATGCAAACACAATTCCTCATATGCATTCCCATACATACACACTGAACCTTTAAAAAGGATAAGGCTAAACTTCCTCATGCAGACCAGAAAGGGGCACAAAACACAAGCTCCCGCACAGTGAGCTCGCACACACACACACACACACACACACACACACACACACACACACACACACACACTATACACCAGACCCAACATGCACACCCCAGGACATGATGCTCTTTTATTTGTCTTTGGGTCCTCCTTGAACTTCTGAATAGCATTTTACAAGCTTGAGGCCATCAGGTTTCAGTGCCCGAACATTTAGTTATCTGAGCTCTGAAGAATAATACTCCGGTTATAGCGGAACTTCTCTCATTCATCCATGCGTTATGTTGTAGAACATTTTTTTTTGCCCCGGATAGGGACTACGGCGTGCGGTCCTGGCAACAGTAGGCCATGGCGGTGTGTGGTGGCATGATGCGTCGCGGTGGCGTGTGTTGACGGTGACCAGACCAGGAGCGGTTGCGGTTCGATGGATGGACAGGTCCCTGCATGGTTAATTTCCAGTAACAAAACAGCCTGCATGACCCGTTGCCATGAGAGAAAACTTCTTCTTACTAATGCCAAAGCAATTTTTATGCAAAACAAAACATTTCCAAAAATAGCAAAGCTGTAGAAGTGGTAAAATTACTTCAGAAACTATCACAATTGTACCAATAAAGCGGTGTCAAGTGTATTTTCTTAAAAGCTTGAGCTATTGGAGCTCGTGGATGAGGTTGTGGTGTCTTCTAGGAAGCAAGCAAAAAAGCCTGAAACTAGCACACATGCAAGCAACTTGATTGATGAACAGTATCACATGTGCGTACTGCTAGCTAGCCAAGAAATCGATTAAGCTACTTGGCTTCTTGGTTAAGGCTTGACTTTGCACATACCCGTTGCTCCGTGGTGGTTTGATCAAGCGTTCCAAAATCAACACTCGTGTAGGCGGAGCCCGTAGAGGCAACTTTCCGGAGCTGAAGTAGTCGGAGCAGTCCATGTTGGCGACTGGGTGCAGTCCGGCGGCCGAGCGCACGGCGGTGAGCAGGAGGGAGGACGGGGGCAGTTCTTTAGGGCAGAGGAGGTGATGCAGGGGGCGGTGAGGTGTGGAGTTTGGCTGATATCCCTGGATGGCTGGGCTTTCGGCGCTGAAGCGGTGAACATCTGAGAGCTCCGTGTGGTTGAACGGCCGGAGCTAGTCGTGGTGAACAGCCTGAGCGCCACGGCGATGGGTGTGTCCCCAGAAGGGAGGAGGCTCCGTGAGGAGGTGGGCAGCGAGGTTGCTCACCTTCAGTCGGGGACCCCGACGATGGCCGGTGGGATCAGAGGTAGGCGGCAGCGCCGACACCTGGATCCACGGCTTTCTCGTCTTCAGTCGGGGACCCTGGCGGCGGCGGGCGCGACCTAATTACAGGAGGCGTCGCTTGGTATAATCCACGGCCGGCGGCGGCGCCCAGGACCAAGGTGGATCGGGCCAGAGGTGGTGTTACATGGCGGCGGTTAGAAGAAGGTGGGGCGATTGTGGGGGCCTGGTGTGGCGGCAGGAGGAACGTGGTGGGTGGTGGCGGGGAGTGATGTTGGGGCGGCGCAGGGTGGGCGGCGCGGTGGCGGCGGCGTCGTTGGGGCGGGGTGCGGGCGGCGCGGGGCAGGCTCAGGCTTTTTTAAATGGGTCCAGGAAAACCTCATCGGACGCTGAAAGCAAATCAGTCCAAAAGATCATTAAAAGTGAAGGATAAGGAGGGCGGTGGCCGTTGTATCAGAAGTTGAAAGCATACTAGTAGTACTATTGCACGGAAAAACCAGAGAAGATGTATTTATCCACTATCAGCATCCGGATCATGGCAGGCGCTGTCTCCGCTGTCGCGTCGAGCTGCTGTGGTTCAAGCCGCCGCCCGCGACTTAGTTCTGAGTCTCCCAGCCTCACATCAAAGTGTTCAGCTGATTTCTATTGTGGGGATATCAAGATTTTTAAATAGAACCGGTGTTAAAAATGGAGCTACGGCAAACCTCTGCAACCGATGATTATCAGAGTATTATGTATACACCCGATGGGCTATATTATTGTTAGCTTATTGACGGGTATTACATATGGATCTTCCGACGTTCGGACAAATCAGGTGATATCCATCTAAATCTAGTTTCTTGGTATATATTGTTTTTATCAAGGGAACAATTACTTTGGACCGTATATTTTGATATGCAGGACAATTATTCATTATAAACGTGGTTTATACCATGGGTATGGAGCACGCGCTGGCAACGTCCTGCCCGGTGTTCGTCCGTGCCACATTACATGGTGAATGGACGCGTGCAAGACGCTGCCCTTACGACCCTGTTTACATCAGCTTGCTGGGACCGCGGCTGTGATTGACTCGCCCGTCCGTACTGGCTTACAACGCCGTGACCGACTCATCTGCTCTTGCCGTCTCTGATACGGTGGACGTCTTTACCATCCGTCTCTCGCGATTCGGTCTACATCAACACACCGGGCCGCACCTATCTGCATGAGCTGTTTATTGAGTATAAAGCCAGTCACTGCTTGGGTAGCCCGGTTCTCTTTCAATAACTCTGGAGCAAATTATCATGTATTGTCAGCCGCCGTCTGCACTGTATGGCTCAATGGACAGGAGCACAAGTCGCCGCCACTACAGTTTGGTTAACTTCAGAACAACCAGTTGGGATGAACCATTGGCTGGATTACTGACGCAAATCATGCGGCGTCATTTATAACCCGCCACGGTCAACCTCAAGTTTCTGTGGATTCACATCGTGTTATCAACGTCAAGGATATATAATGAGTGTTGCGAAGATTGTTAACTCGCCACCTTGCTTCCAGCTTTAACATATTACAGCGTTATGCTATTCAGCTATATGCTGGTTTATATCACGGTCAAATCTGGAGAATCTCAAGCCAACTCCTTGAGTCGCCTTAAGACTCGGGGGCTACAATGATATGACTCAGCAAATATTGCCGGGTTTTTAGTGAATTCAAGAACCTCAGGATGATGGAGGGAAAGATAACCCGGTCCCGGAGGCTACTACCATGTTGATGAAAATTTAAAAGGGTATCAGAAATTTTCCGGCTCACAATGATGTTTCCGGTTTAAAATCCGGCTCACGAGAAGTCAGTCTCACTGATGCTCTCAAATATACGGTTTACAATTCGGTTCAAGGGAAATCTGTCTCTCACAAAGCTCTGAAGCTCTCAAATCTGGTTTAAAAATTTCTGGTTTAAAAAGAACTAATTTCTCACAAGTTCGAGTTTAAAGGCCGTCAGAAAATTTCCGACTGAAAATGAAGATTCCGGTTTAAAATCCGGTTCAACGGAAAGATGTCTCCCACAAAGCTTTGAAGCTCTCAATATCTGGTTTAACATCCAGATCAAGAAGAAGTTATCTCTTGCAAAAAATTAAAGATTGCCAAAGAGAACTTGCTTCCATGATGCGCGGTTCAAACATGGGTGTCGGTGTCAAAACCGGCGGATCTCGGGTATGGGGTTCCGAACTGTGCGTGTAGGATCGATGATAACAAGAGACGGGGGACACAATGTTTACCCAGGTTCGGGCCCTCTCTATGGAGGTAAAACCCTACGTCCTACTTGATTGATGTTGATGAATATGAGTGTTACAAGAGTGGATCTACCATGAGACCGTAATGGCTAAACCTTAGAAGTCTAGCCTATGTGGGTATGGTAATGAGTATATGTGGTGTCCTTTCCGGACTATCCCCTTCGGTTTATATAGACATCGAGGGGATCTAGGGTTCACATGGAGTCGGTTACATAAGAAGTAATCTTCGATCGCCAAGCTTGCCTTCCACGCCAAGTAGAGTCCAATCCGGACACGGCGCTGTCTTCGGCCTTCATGTCTTCATAGCCCATCAGTCCGGCCCAAACGATAATAGACCAGACGCCCAAGAACCCTTTAGTCCGGGACTCCCTCAGTAGCCCCTGAACTTGACTTTCAATGACGAGGAGTCCGGCGTGCAGATTGTCTTCGGAATTGCAAGGCGGGTTCCCCTTTTCTCCGAACTCCAAGATAGTCTTCGGATGCAATGATAGCATCCTGACCTGTTACGTACACCATACACAACCGCAGAGAGAATATAATATTTGTCTCCTCGGGCCATATGGATGTGGAGAATCAAATCCTCGATCCATACTACAGGATCGGTTGTGCCGTCGTATGATTTGATATTGACGGGCTTGAACCCCTCATGGAATTCATGACCCAGTACTTCATCTGTGAAGCAGAGCGGGTGTGCGGCGCCTCCATACCGGGCCGCATCGTGGCGGAGCTCTGAAGGAGTCCGTCTGCGGCATTCGGCTCGAGCGTGGTTAGGTTTGTCACGTCCGAATAAGTAGCCGTCGTCGCGCCTCGAGGCATGTACTCGTGATCCGTAGATCGATCTTGTGTGTCCTGCTCTACTATCCAGGGTCTGTCGGAGGTCGTACATATGACTTCGGACTCTTCCGTCCCTATTTTGATGGGGTGGTGGGGCGGTCTGCTGTTCGGCCTGAGTTGCCGCTTTATCTCGACCGCGGGGTGAACGTTCCGCCGCCCTGTCCCGACCACGTGGTGGTCGATCCACATTACGCGAGGGAGATATATGCTCCGGCGCCTCCTCATCGAATTGAGGTAGCAGTCTACGTTTCGGGTAGCTCTTGGCTGGGCGGTTGAGGCCGTATTCCTCGGCTGTCAGGACATCAGTCCATCTGTCGACGAGCAGGTCTTGTTCAGCTTGAAGCTGTTGTTGTTTCTTTTTTAGGCTCCTTGCAGTGGCTATGAGCTGAAGCTTGAAGCGCTCTTGCTCGAGAGGATCCTCAGGCACGATGAAGTCTTCATTGTCGAGGCTTGTCTCCTCCTTGGAGGGCGGACGGTAAGTATCATCCTCCGGGTTATCTTCTATGGCCTGTTCGTCAGGGTTGTCTTGCCTGCTGTCGTATTCCTGTTCGGATGTGGCCCCGGCGGGGTCTTCACTGTTTTCGGCGACGCCCGGAGTACTATTTTCTCCGGTGCCAGTGTTGTCGCCCTTTGGGCGGCGGGGCTTGGGGCGGTGTTTGGGCCGCCGGCGCTTGGACTGTCTCTCGGAGGTTTTGTTCGCATCCGGCTCTTCTTTGTCGTCGCCAGATCCTTTAGGTGTATCAACCATGTAATGTCGTATGAAGAGGTGGCCGTCCAACGTCCAGTAAATGGCGGGTCTTGCCCTTGCTCCTTGTCGGCATCGTCGTCCATACCGTCAATGTCTTCGCAGCCATAGTCGAGCATGTCGGTTAAGTCATCGACGGTGGCTATGAAGTGGGTGGCGGGTGGGAAGCGAAATTCCTCATCATCCATCTCTAGCTCGAAACGGACATAGTTCTGATGTGCTATAAAATTTCTTTAAAGATTTTAGCACGTCACCCAAAGGCGAGTGCTGGAAAACGTCAGCGGCGCTGAACTCGAAGATCCATAACCGATTTAGCTCGGTGTCTGCGGGCGTGCACAGTCCAAAACTTATAGCTGGAAATGAGTCCGAAGTTCCATTAAAGCGAATATTGTAGGGCGTCGAGTCCATGTGTGGCTCCAACGCCATGGACTCTGAGGCCTCGGATGGCTCGATCTACTTCGACTCTAAGGTCATTGCAGTCGCAGGAACCATCTCCTGGGTGTGATCCGATGACAGATTTAAGTCACGTTCATCGGGATGAGGGGGAGCGATCGCCGCGGGCTCAAATCCACAAACATCCGCGGCGTAGTTCAAGCTTCTGAATCTGACCTGATGGCTAGGGGCGTACCTGTCGATCTGCTCCAGATGGCCAAGCGAGTTGTCCCGTAGTACGAAGCCGCCGAATACGAGGATCTGTCCGGGGAGGAAGGTTCCTCCTTGGGCAGCGTCATTATTGATGATAGAGGGGGCCATCGAACCTTTTGTCGATGACATAGTGGAACTCTCAATGAAAGCACCAATGTTGGTGTGAAAACCGGCGGATCTCGGGTAGGGGGTCCCGAACTGTGCGTCTAGGATCGATGGTAACAGGAGACGGGGGACACAATATTTACCCAGGTTCGGGCCCTCTCTATGGAGGTAAAACCGTACGTCCTGCTTGATTGATATTGATGAATATGAGTGTTACAAGAGTGGATCTACCACGAGATCATAATGGCTAGACCCTAGAAGTCTAGCCTATGTAGGTATAGTAATGAGTATATGTCGTGTCCTTTCCGGACTATCCCCTTCTGTTTATATAGACACTAAGGGGATCTAGGGTTTACATGGAGTCGGTTACCTAAGAAGGAATCTTCGATCGCCAAGCTTGCCTTCCACGCCAAGTAGAGTCCAATCCGGACACGACGCATTCTTCTTCCTTCCTGTCTTCACAGCCCATCAGTCTGGCCCAAAGGATAATAGGCCGGACGCCCGAGGAGCCCTTAGTCCGGGACTCCCTCAATGGGCATCCTGCCTTATTGGTTTATCATATTATTGATCATTTGGGGGCTTCCTGCTTGTTGATCACACCTGTGACTACCCTATTAATACGGCTATCAAGCCAATATTATCATAAGAGCACAACTCTGGTTACTTTGGTAATTCAG